AAAAAGATCATCGCATATCGACAGAGCGTCTAGAGCCTGACACAAATTTATTAACACTAATAATATCAATTCCACTCAAGGCCAGTAGGCTTTCGCAGCTCCACAAGGTCTAATTGCTGAGCTCGCGCGAGGAGCATTAATCCAGCATGGAATTTGGATATGGGTGCCTTTTCTAATGAGCTACTGGGCTAATGGTCAGGCAGCCAGAGAAATTTAATATGGAAATAACCTAATGTCAGAGATAGCGACGCCATGCATTCCTAGGCAAGCTTTGAGCTCACTGTCAGCGAGAATTTTTTATTGAGAATTTTCTATAATAAAATGTCTGTCTATTGAATGACTATATATACATATAAAGAAGTGCTTACCTTCTTTGTCTTTCAAGCAGAAGCTTTGCGCACTTTTATCATTCCATTTGACTTGACACAATTTCCAAACATTACAAAATACATGTGTTATGTGTTTTTCCATATTTCAATTACTATTTTCCATTCCTCTAATTATATACTCGTTAAATGATGTATGTAGATAAATAGAAACATGCATGTGTATAAATTAAAAAAAAAATGTTCTACATAGTATAATTAATAATATGTATTTCTTGATCCAATACTTGGTACGTGAGTTCTGAAAAGGTTTAATTTCCTCTCAGTCTTTATGTATCTAAACATCCAAGAGTCTTATCATCTATGTGAGGGTCCACGAGAATTATTGAAATCTTAGCGGAAGCTATGAAACTGATCAGTAAGAAATGTCAAAGATCAAGGGTTCTGTCACGAGCTGTCGTGGAAAGGTAGAAAAGATCAGAAATGAAGGTTTCTGCAATGCCAACCTGAGTAGGAGATTAACTGCTCATACGAGTCATATAAGGATGCTCTATTGAATAAGCGACACCTAAATCTTCAGAACTGACGGGACAATGTAAAGCTGCTGAAATTGCTAGCTAACCGGACTTAATATCCTATGATAAGTTCCCCCCTCATATGTCTGATGGATGTTTGATGTACTACCGAGAAAGGAATACTTTGGCAATACTGCTTCTTACAATAGAGGATACTTAAATGTCTTCTTCTCTAACATGAAGTAATAATTTGTTCAGTGGTGCCGTGGGAGTGACATGAGATGGGAGTAGGTTAGGTTTAGCGGATTAATGTTCAACACTCCGGCTTTCGATGCTCCTCCTACTATAAAAAAAAAACTACTTCTTCAAGATCCATAACCATGGACGATTAAAGCGAATAAACGAAAGTGCAGAGAACCCCGGATGCAGCCTTCGACGTAAGTTAGAGATACTTAAAGCCATTAACACTGTTTTAACAGAATTTTTCAGTGTCTTCCTGCTTAAGCACAAACTGGTAATCAAATAAGTTTTCCTATTAGCTTTATGGGAACATATTTCTATTTCCTTGCTTTTCCTTTAAAATCTTTATACAATTTATTTTTTTTCTCTAGTAGGTCATTGTGTACATTAGTTAAGAGCTCCAACAGTTTAATAAATTAAAATTTGTCTAAAGCCGTGTTTTTTATTTATTAAAAACTCCGGCGCTGTCATATATTTTATCCATTTTATGTATAATATAAGTTTTATATAAGTGAGTGCATACTTATCCGAAAAGAACCGAAGTATTCGCTGTCGCTGACTGTTACCAAGACCTTTCTGTCCCAATTTTGTCATAAATTTCAACTCAATTTATTTACATAAAAACAAACTGTGTAAACTAAAAAAACTTTTTGTTTTCTTTACGAAATATGTTTCTCTTATTTACTCGCAGTTCGAATATATGTATATATTTTATTATACTATAGGAAGGCTGAAATGCTTTTAATATTTTTAAATATTTGCATAATAAACATACCTACAGTAATATGTTAAAGAAGCTTAAGTCGAGTTATGTTAATAGGGGAAATTTAGACTGTAGATAACAACCAATTCGAGCATGCTTTTTGTATTTTATTTTGCAAAATATTCTGGAATCGGAAAGTTAAAATTGCTGTCGAATCAAGAGAAGCAATTTTTCTATTTTTGTCTTAGAAATCAAAATGTCTGCCTTAACTTAACTTGACTTAAGTTGTTCTAACATATTTCCGCAGTTAAAGTTGTACTTTTGCAGCCGTATATAAGTATGGTATTTTAAAACTCAAAAATACACGATTGTATTCCCAGATGTTAGTCTCAAATGGAAAAAAATCGAATATAGTTCCATATATAGTAATCTCGTATAGTAATCGGAAATGGCTTTTTTAGGAAAACAAACATTATATATTCTCAGTAGTGAAATATGGACTAATGATGTAGTGGAATGTATAGTATTTAAAAAAAAATTATTCATTGTTTTGTTAAGTTTTGTGAAAGCTTCTAAAATAAGTAAATTGATTTAAGACTTTCTATCCGTTTGAGAATCTAAGAAAGTATTTTTTAGATAAAGGTTAATTCATTTTGAGGTTTCCTATTTTTTTAAAGAAAAAACACAGAAACTTCAAATTTAATGGAAAATGTTTATTATCATTGGCCTCGGCCATCTTAGATGATACATCCAATTATTGATGATTAAGTGAAACCAAATGTCGAGCTGCAATTTCGGGCATCAATTAGTCGGTTATCTTCGCGCGATGGTCGGCATTGACGTTTACGTTCTAACCGGCATCATTTTTGAAGCAATATTGACCTTTTATTCCACCGGCCCACAAATCACATCAAACCCTTATTTTTCTGGCTGACAGTTTTTGAATATCTTCATGCTGTTCTTAATCCGAATCACGACAATTCTGTTTGTTTAAATACCCATTGAGCCAGAAATGGGCTTCATCGGATCTTCTCGGAACTATTCTAAATAGCCCATAGAGTAAAGCAATGTCGTTTGGGAAGGATTTTATTCGCTTGATAATGGCATTGATACCGCCAAACTGGTATCCCCAGCAAACCGTAAATTATTTTGGATGCAACAAATTTTTCTGAACGAAAAGGGATTTGACCATTAGCAACAATTTTGTTTGTTGACGAAGCCATTAGAGCAGAAATGGACCTCATCTGAAAAAATGATTTCTCTGATTTCCCGATTCCCCCGATTCCCGACTTTCCGAAGAAAGTGAATTGCGTCATAATTATAGACAGTTCTCAAGCGTTATACCAAAGTTAAAGGTGAAATGCTGAAATGAGAAACCTTACTGAACACACTGCCAAAGTTTTATACAAATTCATAAACAAACAGGGCCAGCACGAGCTGTCGAAAACACTTCGCCACAAATGGCAGACCCTGTACATATATTTGGAAATCTTCTCTGAAAACTTGAAATTAATACAAAAAATATAATAGTTTGGGAATTATGTGCTTAGATATAAGAATTTTTTAGTTTAGTGCAATCGGCTCCCAAAACTTTGAACTCGTTTTTCTCGAAACGTTGCTTTCAGAGTGGGTGAACAAACTTTTTCTAAAACTTCTAGACCGATCGACTTTAAATTTCATAAGAACTGCTAGATATATTTGTCAGGTAATGATCATAAAAAAATAATTAAGTTTGTTGAGAACAATCTCGATTTTTTAAATTACTATGTAGGCTTAGAAAAATTTACTTTTTTCATTGGGAAGCCGGAATTTTGTCTTAAATAAAAAAACTTTGGGCATTACCTGTATTAATCTATAATAATAATAACTTTTTATGTTTTTAGATTTGAACTAATTTTAAGCAGAAACAACTTCCTCACCGTCAGACATCTTTCTATGGTGTTTTTGAGGGTCGGCTACTATACACATAGTGTTTCGTAATAAATCACCGATTATAAAGTACATTAAATTCTGTAAAAAATTTTAATGTTTTTATGATCGGTAAAAATTCCTCTTACAATGTCACGATTTCAAGCTGGCGCCTATCAGAGTCATTACGATGCAGGCGGGCGGCCCCTAGCGAAGGCTGACGTATTTGCCCATTTATTTCCTTATGATGGATTACTTCTGGATTGCAATTGCATTCTCAGAATGGTGAATGGATAATACAACGGCCAGTTACCTGGCGATAGGTATAAAATGCCAGGGGTAGACACCCCGAATCATAAAACTCAACATGGAGGTCAACGAAGGAACGAAGCGGACTGGGATATTAGTACAACGTCGGTGGGAGACGAAGCTGCTACCAGCGGCGGTCACAGTGACCTTATGAGCTACGCCGCAAGCGGCCACATCTCCATTGCAAAAGAAATAAATAGGTTGTGAGGGGTTGTAATACTACTGATAAACCAGTTTTGCCGCAGCTCATGAAAACTGAGAACAAGAAAGTGCTGTAGGCATTAACGTAGAAAAGGAATAGGAACTTCTTCGCTTTCCTCAGCAGGCGACCGAGGGTTCCAACTCTGTCAACACAAGAGGGTCCCGGACGAAGCCAAGAAAGGAGGGGTTAAAAGCGAAAGCGAGGTAAATGGTGGCTCAAGCGTCGGCATCCTAAAGGATGACCACTCCTCATGTACCTAGCAACTAAACTCCATCTGGTATCGCAAAGGACCAAAACTGGTCTATGCGTACCTTATTAGCCTACCTGATTAACCTAACATCACCTAATATTTTTATTAAATAAATACTAAAAAAAAAGTTCATAAAACAAAGGCATTTTTTCTGACTAGTAAGTGGATATAATCTCTTAAGCAACCCATCTAGACTCCACCTTCGCAATACAACTTGTCCTCCAGATCTATGTCAGACCTTCGAAATAGTAACATAATCTTTACAAATTTAATCTTTAATAGAAATGCAAACAGAGAAGAGACAACACGAGCTGAAACCATTAGTGGCAAACGGTGTTTAAAAAAATACATATGTATATCGGATAATGTTGAACCTCATTAGAGCGAGTATATAGTAGTATAGTAAACAATTTTCCTATACGGTCGGTATGAAAGTAAGTTTATATAGATTTATATAGTCATGCCTCTAAGTAGTTGTGAACTTATTTTTCAAACATGTATTGAATATTTTTTATTTTATATACTAAATAGTTGAATTAGTCACAGTTACTATGTATAGTGTAATTAAATTTATGGTTTCATTATTCAATGTTGTTCTTTCCTTTTCTCGCGTTACTTTCTTCCTTCAGCCGCTCTGGTTGGGTCTAGTCCCCCCGATGACAACTCGTGAATTTGCACTTGCTCGAGGCGTGACGATAACTGTTGTCGTGACGTTGCCAATTCCCGTTTATAATTCGCTATGGCCTTTTCCAGTATTTGCTCAACTGGTGAGAAAGTGGAGCGAGAACGTAAACGCGCTTTCGCAATGTCCAAAGACTGCACAAACATACATAAAATAAGTAAAAAGTATTCCATTATAAACATTATCGCATATAAATTTATATTAAGTAGTTGATTTTGGAAATATTCTCACACCTTGAGTAAGTTCGTGTTTCTCTCAATGGATTCCTCATATGAGAGTGCCTTAGTTGATTGTGCCGAAGTCTTTTTCGCTCTTTGTTCCTCTAATTTCTGTAATTTATTTTCATCAGCTTTGCTGCAAAAATAATTATTATATATGTATATTTTCTAGATGCATATTTATTTACAATTTATAAATAGCGTTAATAGGAAGACCAACGAAGAATTTCGAAGAGTGTTAGGCGTCTAGCACGTCAACTATACAAAACAAACCGAAGTAGGTGGAATATCTTCTTCTTCTTTTTTGGCGTAGACACTGTTTACGCGATCATAGCCGGGTTAACAAAAGCGCGCCAGTCGTTTCTTCGTTTCGCAGGCTGGCGCCAATTAGAGATTCCAAGCGAAGCCATGAGTGACATATAGAATTTGATTTTTGTTCGTCGAGTGAGGACTTTGCTTCTCATCTGCCACGACTCTGATTCTCCCATCTCCGTTGCTATCTTCTTATTATACCTTCATTTATTTCTTATATTGAGCTCTTGTTATTTTTACTTCCTTATGCCAGAAAGTCAATTGGGGTATTAGCGCTTTTAACTAATATTGCATCACTTGAGACTGTTCGGTAGGCTGATGCAGCCTTGATGGCTGCCCAGATCTCAGCTCCGTATAGTACGACGTTGATTGTCGTAGACATTAGAAGCTTTCTCTTTTCTTGGCTGGTGCCCCCTATGTTGGCCATTAGTCTGCTAAGTTGGGAGGTACTTTTCTCACTCTTTTCTGCGGCGTACTGGATTTGTACCATGAAGATAAGTCTGGGATCCAGTCTTCGCACTTCTTCTGTGTCTCGTGCTGTAATTGTGGATAAAACATTGTAAATTCCATAAATTGGTGTCACTAAGTCTCGGGCTGTTCAAACAGGCTTCGTAGGATCACGTCCGCCAAGTAAAGTGCACTCTTTGGTATCTGGTGTACATCATACATGCGTCATCCAATGCAGCAACTCTTTGAAATTGCGTCAAAAACGTTTAAAAATTAGTCTCACAGTTGCTCTTTTTGCCCGTAGTGAACAAGCATCTGCATTCGACGGTCTGCCTCATTACCCTCCGTTGTATCGAGCTCAGCCAAAATTAATTTAAACTAAATTACCGCAGATATTGTTCTTTTTCCATTATTTCTAAAACTAGTCCGATTCGGCCGAAGATCGGCTACTGTCGTCTACGAGAATGTATTACATGAAAATAAATTTTCTTTATTTTTTTCAAATTCATACAATAGTGACACCACCCGGCGTTTAGGTTAAATATTTAGAAATTATATTTGTCGGACCACCCTGTATGCAAATTGAACATTTGTTTACCTTTGTACAATAAGAAAATATCATTTCTAAAGCGTTTTTTGTCTGCATATAATCCACAAAGCGCATATTTATTATAATCCAAGTCTCATTGTTGCATTTTATGAATAAATTAAATTTTTTTTTTTTCATTTAATAAATAAAATGCAAGTGTTTTTTTTTTAAATTCCGTTGGCAATTACTTACATTTTTTCCAGCCGCCTGTCGATCTCTGCTTCCAGCGCCGAGTATTTTTCATTAATTTCGCTTATTGCATCCATACTTAATGTGTTCGACAACAGTCTGCTGCATATAGAACCTTTAATTTATTTTAATTGTGAACAAAATGAACACATTTTCACGGCTACAGTAACACGTGTAGTAAAAGCAAAGTAAAGAAATTGTAAACAGTCGCACCTTGCTTACAAAACGCACTGTTGTCAAGACAACAACAAATGCATATCAATGGGGTGGTTGGCTGGTCGCCGCTTTACAAATGCAAATACATTGTTTGTGATGTTATATGTAGAATTTTTTTATAATCTTTCAACATGTTGTCAAGAGTAATATAGTTTTGTTAAACTAACGGTTGTTTGCAATGCCTAAAACTATACTTCTATATTTGTCTTTGTATCAAAATGTTTTAGATAATGGTACGAATTGTTTTCTGTGTGTTGTCTGACATTCCTTATTACACAAGTATTAAATGTTATGCAATAAGTCGCTCAATATAAGAGTTTTCATAACAAAATTTGCGAGAAAACAACTTTTACAGGAACTTTTAGTTAAAATTCAAAATAAAACAAGCAAAAACATTAACTTCAGCTGCAACGAAGCTTTGATACTTTTCTCAGTTGCATTTTTATAGCATAAAAGAGTATAAAAATATATTTGTCTTGATTTCGAACTTTCAGTTTGTAATGCAGCTATATGCTATAAAGGTCTGAACTGAAGAATTGGTTCGGAGATTACAGCGTTGCTTTGAGCAATATTATGTGCCGAATTTGGTGTAGATAACTTGTCAAATAAAAAAGTCTTCCATATAAGAACTTCATTCTGATCTTTCAGTTTGTATGGCAGCTATGTGCTATAATAGTCCGATCAGTTTCTTCGGAGATTTTAGCGTTACTTTGGATAATAACTCATACCAAATTTTTTGAAGATATCTTTTCAAATAAAACAAATTTCCATATAAGAACTTCATTTTGATCCTTCAGTTTGTATGGCAGCTGTATGCTATAATGGTCCGATATGATAAATTTTTAAGGAGGTTATACTGTTGCCTTGGACAATAATCGAAACCCAATTTGGTGAATATATAAAAGAGTTTTTCAAACAAGGACTTGTCATTGTTTGAAAAATTCAGTTTGTATGACAGCCATATGGTATAGTGAACCGATATCGTCGGTTTCGACAAATGAGCAACTTCTTGAGATAAAAATGTCGTGTGCAAGATTTCTGATTCGTAACTCAGCAACTGAGGAACTAATTCGCGTATATTCAGAGAGACAAACGAACTTGGCTTAATCAACTCTGACCGCTACGATCATTTAACTTTCATTTTATAAGCACGTTTCCTTGTGGATGTTATAAACTTCGCGGCAAATTTAATATATGCTCAGAGTAATGAAATCAATCCAGACCTTCGCCTAGCCCGAATATATCCGTCCTGGTTACGTAGACATGTCCGTCGTGGGAACGTTTATACTATTAGCTCTTCCTTATTGGTTATTAATAAATTATTTTTGCATTAATTTATACTTATGTAGCATTTTATTTTGTTCATTAGCATTTTTTCAGTTGAAAATATTTTCTTTAATATTTAGAAATGGAAATTTTGCAGTACCTCTTGTCCTCATAAATTTTTTAGTAACTATAGTTTTTGTAAACTACGCTTTAGCATCAGTGACATACATACAAACAAGCGTAATTAGCAAAAACAATAAATAACAAGAAGAAGAATATTCAAAATATCACAATTTAAACAAAACTTTCAAATTTATAATATGTTAAGTAATTCAAATCGAGTTTAATGTTTTCGAATTCCGGTTGAATGCACTTTTCATAGACATTCTGTAGTACAAATATTTAATACTTGATTTGTGCCTCCACTTGTGAAAATTAATTTCAAAAACCACATTATACACACAATTACTATGACTTATATAAGCATTTAGTTGACTATTTCGTTTAGTTTTGTCTCTTATAAATATGCATGTATGTAATATTTTTATATGTAAGTAGCTTAAAGCCTCCACTATGTCAGACAGTCATACTTATGACTTCAGTATAAAATCACTAATAATGGGCGCCACTCGCTCTGGCGTTACCAAATGCAAGTGATGCGTGCCAGGTACTTTCTCGAATATCACCAATTTTGCATGCTTTCGCATCGTTTCAATTACTTCCGCATAGAATTGGGGATTTTGGAAATTCATACCAGGCTCTGCGCGTATATTGAGTACTTTACAGCGTATCTGCTTGGCATACGCCAGTACTTGCTCCATTGTGAACATGCCCAGGAAACTCACTTTCAAGCGTAAATCTCGTAAGAAATTAAAGCCATCTTTCTGCACTTCCGGTGGTACTGGCATCATGCCGCGTCGCATTAACACTTTCACGGACTCCTCATCCACCGAGCCGTCATAGGCATCTAAAACTAATTTGATCATCTCTTCATAACTATAGCATGGTAGTTTTTTTAACGGTAAATTTTCATAATCCAGAAATTTATCTAAAGCCCAGCCAGTAGTGGCTGCCATACGTTCGACATCACGCACTGTCGGTCCAGCTATATCAATATTGATGAGTTTATCTACTTCTTCGGGAAAGCTAGCTGCATACATGAATGTGAGGGCGCCGCCCATTGAATGACCCAACAATGTCACATTTTCCCATCCATAGAGACGCACTATACGTCGTATGAGACAAATGCCATCCCAAAAGATGAAATACTGCATACCCTTGGGATAATGTGAGGACTTGCCGTGTCCTGGTAAATCGATGCAGAATATTGGAATGTGTGCGGGTAGCAGTGGACACAGGCGATCGAATGTGCCGGCATTGTCTTGCCAACCATGAAACGCTAGTACTGGCTGACGATTACGTGGACCCCACCATTTGCCTGCAAGTGGCGATAGGAATGTAATACACACATTTTTCATCATTATTATTTGATTGGTTATAACACGTTACATGCATATAAGCTAATTTCACGGAACACAAAAATATGTATTGCAAAAACAAAAAATATATGTATATGTGAAAAAATGTATAAATAATAGAAAAAAATAAATAAATAAAAAAATAAATAAAAATAAATTAAACAAAATGAAAAATTAGAAATAAAGTATCCAAAATAAAAAATTGTATGAAGATAAAAAAAAAATTATAATAAATAAAACAAGTATGAGAATTAAAAACAAAATTATTAAAAATAAAGCAAATATGATAAATAAATTAAAATTATAAAAAATAATTTTATACTTGAAATAATATAAAAAATTAAATACGTTGAAAAAATAATAAAAATTAAAAAAAGTATTAAAAAAAAAAAAATAATAATAATAATAAAAGTTAGAAAAATTAAAAACGTAAATAAAGAAACAAAAAGTTTTTTTAATAAAAAATAAAAACCAACTTTTGAGTTTACTGTTTAAAATTTTTTTTACAATATTACGTCATTTTTAACTTTTGTAATTTATATTTCCGCGTCAAATAAATATATACACATTTACGTTTTTCAAAACACTGTTTACGCTCCCTAAAATGGCCTATGAACACTTAACTATTATTCGTAATATCACAAAGCAAATCACTGAGTTGCTTATCACCATTTTCGAAGCGATAAAGAAAGCGCACATACGTATAGCAATAAAGTATTTTTAAATATGTATATATGAAATTTTGATTACTTTACTATCGTAACACAAAAACCAGTTATACCTATTCCCAACAACGAAATGAAACCTAATACATATTGTATTTCACGGATTAAGGCAAATAAGCATCAAAACCATAAAGGCGCTGTTAATTTTCAAATTTTAACACTGAATTAATTGAATAATAATAATTGAATTAATCAAACAAATTTCGTTACGGACAAATGACTAATAAAATAGTCTGGCTATTATCAATATAAATATAGCACCATTCAAAAAAAAAATCAAGAATGTGAAAGTAATCAATGCTATTGTATGCAAGCACGTTTGTATATGTATTTTTTGTTGTACATATTCAACAAAAAAACGGACATTAATTATATTAAAAAAAACAATTCATTGTTTTTGTAGTGTTTTAACTCAGCAAAAGCTGAAAAACTTATTAAACTTTAGCGGAAACATGAGTTACAATCGAATGATATTTGCAATTTGTAAACAGGCTACGCGATTGAAAAAAAATTATATTTAAGCAATACATTAAAAACAGCGCATTTTATATTTATAAAAGCCGCCCGCTTCAATTCTTTACTTTATATGACTTCCTTAATGTATAAATTTAACATAAAAAAAATTATCAGGCGTTTTAGTGCGTAACACTTTAGATACATTTGTCACAGGTGTCAAAAATAAAAAAATACCCAAAATTAGTCTTGTTGTAAACGCGATTTGATTAGTATCGATTACAATAAAATAAATTACATTGCTTCTAAAACTATCTAATTCCATCTAGACTCAAATCAATCCCACACTTTAGATAACAAGATAACATACCAGCTACAGTACCCCATGGTACATCAAGAGTAATTTCTTCCCATGAATCTTCACCTCTGCAGGGGCCGTTGCCATCTGTAAGCAATAACAAAATTACAATAGACGTCCGCTAGAAATGCTATTACAAAATCTTGCAAACTCATTCGCCAAAATCAGAGCTTAGACCGCTGCCGCAAAGGCTACATACATACATTGTGCACATGTATCGCAAGAGCGTGTGGCGTAATATTTACTATTGTGCTCATGCACATACATATAAGTTATGGGATATGTATGTATGCACGGTAGACATAATAAAATAAACATGTCATAGCTTTTTTTTTTCATTTAAGAGCGCAGCTGTTTGGCGGATGCCGTAGCTTTCTTGCACATACGCATCTATTAAGTAGAGTATGTGTATTAAACGTGTATGAAATGCATTCACGGTCGTTTCCGCAAGCACAAATTTTCATTAAAAAGCTCTTTGACACCTCACTCATTAAAGTATTTCGATTTTTTAATTTATACACTAACTTGTTTTTGGTGTTGTGGCTGCATTTCCATTTGTACTAGTGCTTGCACCATTCAGATCAGCTGAAGCCGCGCTTGAGTTGTTCGAATTCATTTTACGTATTTTTTGTTATTTCTTTAAACGTACAATGCAATTGAAAGGCAACGGCTGCGGCTACACTCCAATAAACTGCAATTCCCCAAAGCGGTTCCCTCAGTATATATATACTGTGGCGGTTCCAAAGCGTTTGTGAAAGGAAAAAGTTTAATTTGACAAAAAAACTTTCTGATTGACACAGAAAACATAGAAAATCAGCTGACAACTTGTACTTTGGAATGTTGCCACATGATTTCTAAATCAGCTGTCAATTGTGAAGTTGCCAGATTAACGCTATACGGGCGTGTTATGGGAATTTTTTTAGAGATTTATTGATCAGTCCTAGTATAAAAAAACACATTTAAAATAAAAAATGAAGTTCAGAGGTACATAATACCAGTGCAAAGTGTTCGAATTCACACATTATCCCTTGATGTAAATGGTTATTTTTATTCTTATTCTTATATATTCTTACCTCAGTCTGTGTCGGAGCACTATTACGTGGAAGGCTGTCAACAAAGTGCCGAGAATTTGTAATGCCTTTCCAAATTCATAAAAAAATATCTCAAAAATAATGAAAAAAAAAAAATAATTGTCATTCGGCATGATTCAACAAAACATACTGAGGTAAGCTACCGACTCTTCTAAACTTTGAAAACATATCTTCATTGAAAATCAACTTTCAATATTTCAAATTAGTTTTCACAGCTTTACATACATATCATAAATTATTATTAAAAAAGTCTGCTTCAGAGAACAGAGACGAAAATTTTGCAAATGTTGCATAAATACGTGGCTCGTTCCATATTATCTGCTGTGCAGCCGCAAACAATGCGAAACGGAATATTTAAGCGCAGCTATGAGGCCACTAGAGCTGGTCCACCAAAATATCCAATAAGCAATCTTGATTTCATTCTACTCGGTGGAGGTTTCATCTTTACCATCTCCATAATGCCAATCTGGGGCTTAAAGCAGGTACTGAAATGGTCGGAAATCCACAACTCATCATAAAATATATGTATATATCAGAATATCAGAAATTTGTACCAAATAAATTTAATTATTGAGAAGTAATGTTTGTTTGATTCAGCAAGGGACAACTCATTTTTCTTGATTAAACAGAATTTCATTTGACGGAATCTAGAGCTCATGCTTACAGGGCCAGTTCTTCACGTTTTGAAGCAGATAAATGTTGCAGGGACCATAGTTTAGACGGTTTGATTGATAAAATGGATTTGTAATCCGAATTTGTATTATATTTTAAAGATGGGTTAAAAAAAACTACTACAAATAAGTTACGGTTAGTGGTTGGTGGAGCTCCTAAACAAGTTTGTAGTTTCTTGCTTGCGAACTCGAGTTGCGCAGCGCGTATGTGTGCGATGACTTTACGGTTCCCAGTTAAAAAATGTGTGACAACTTTTCATTCTACATTGTTTATTATACCATAGTAAGGTTTCACAGTTATAGAAAGCTGTCCGTCTAGTAATACCAAGCCATTACTCCGTTATTTGGTACCCACATAATTCTCTGCTATAACAGTAAATATCATTAAATATTCTATAAGAAAGGCATCACAACTAAAGTGCCATCGTTATTAACGGATGATCCAAGTTGAGGTACTTTTTTCAATAGCCTTTTTTTGAAAATTCACGCATGAGTCGTGTCAAGCTGTCATGTCATTTTTGTTCCGTATTGTTAGGCATTTCATCATGGAAATACTTACGCCTGCACAACGTTTAAAAATCCTTCAACTTTATTAGGAAAAAATTCCAAGCGACATCGCTTCATTCTATAGGTTCTTGAAAAGTTCCAAGAAGAACCGACGTTTTCGAACCAAATTTTGTTCAGTGATAAGGCCCATTTCTATTTTCGCGCCATGACAACCTACTACTTCATGACTGCAATTGAAGCTTGTGCTATCGGCTACATTTGATTTCAATAAGGCGACGTTAATGGATTTATTGAGACATTTCGGTGGCCACCAAGGTCGTGTAATATCAGACCGTTTCGTGTGGTGATATGTAAAGTATATGGATCTTCCTTTATAATAAATATAAATAATATAAAGGGCCCGTTTCTTACTTTGTGAATGAATTCCTAGAATTACCATTGACTGTCGATTGGGACTTTAAAAAGATAATTCGTAACATCCGTATTTGATTAAGAAGTGCTTTCCCTGGCAAAAAAAAGTTTTAATACAGATTTTTGACTAAAAAAAAATTCAGTGTATTTTTCGAATCCAAAGGTTTTGCATTAATATCGATGAACTGCATCGGTAAAATTTCGAAATTTATAGACCTAACACCAGGAGAGAGATTATTATTATAATTAAGTAATAAACACCATATTACAGTTATTATTACTGAAGCTGATGTTAACCGCTAAATAATTTCTTACAGTGTATATTGTTATTAAACTAATTGAGATCCTTGTGTCGTTCAGGTTGATTGAATAGATATTATCGCGCATTGTTTTGAACTGATAGCTCAATATTATTGTTGTTGTTATATATTATTATCTGACACTTGTATAACAATAATTTCATTCGTATTAAGTCGTGTGTAAATTATCCGAACATAAAATTAGATTAAGCCTAATGTCCCATAAACGAATATAACAGTGAATTGTGGAGAGTATAGTTGAGTGGTCGCAAGTCGGCACAAAATAACGGAAAATGAATTTATTGCTGCAGATTTTTTCATTGGTAAATTAAAAAAAGGAGCAAGGAAATTATATAATATAAATTAAAAATAATTTAATTTTTTTATTCCGGATACGAGTGACCAATATTTTCTAAAAAATATTTTAAACTTTTTTATTCGGCTGCTGATAATAAATTTAATCGGATTTGCCTCAGGAGAAGTGTCTGTGAATGTGAGGAATGTGACGGTAAAACTAATGAGAGAGGCATGTAATACTAATGTTCTCTTCTTCTTGCTTTTAGTCGCAATCGCTATAATTTTTGAGTTAAACTAACAGCTCAATTACAAAGTTCCCGGACTTCTGTAGTAAAACACATTTTTTGGCTATAGTTGTTTTTCGTTTTGTTTTAAAATAGGCTTGAGTTTCGGCGCCCATCTTTTCATTCCACGATCTGAGAACAGAAAATAGTTGTTAAGGTTCAAATCTGGAAAATATGGTGAATGCAGAAGCAATTCGAAGCCCAATCCATGGAATTTAGCCATTGCTCACACTGACTTGAGACACGATGCATTGGCTTGGTAAAGCAGGACTTTCTTTTGCTTCAAATGCGGTTCTTTTGTGGCGATTTCGACCTTCGAACGCTAAGTAAAAGTCGCTGTTGATTGTTTTTCCTTTTTCAAGGTATTGAATAAAAATTATTCCATCTCATCCATATATGTATATAGAATAACATTACCAGCCAACTCTTGCGTTTTTCCAAGCTTGGAGCTCGGTTGACTATCGATTGGACTACGGATGGAAATTATGGAGCCATGTTTCCTCATTTGTCAGATATCGACACAAAAACTCGGTCTCACTACGCTTGATAATCTTTTAAATACTGCTCTGAATCACCAACTCGTCGTTTTGTTAGTCAAAAGTGAGCTCGTGTGGCACCTACTTTGAACAGACCTTTCTTATACCCAAATATTCATGAATGATATAATATACATGTACAGTTCATACATATCTTTAGAGTGTCTGCTATCTTTAACAGCTTCACTTCACGGTCATCCAAAATTATTTTGTGTACACCGCTTTCGGCACTCATTTTATCACGTCTGAACTTAGCATACCAGTCCTTTATGATTGATTTTCCTCTGGAGGTGTCCGGTAACTCGTAATCAAGCCAAATTTTTGCCGCAACTATGTTTTTCCCCTTGAAAAAGCAATATGTTATCAATATTCGAAACTCCTTTTTTCCCTTTTTTGCCCAATAACCAAAGTTGCTTCACCCGAAATTAAGTAATTCCCAAACGAAGAACTTTGGCTCCCTTTCTTCAAGAAAAGTTTATATCTTGAAGGGGTTTAAATGCCTATATCTTAGGCTTCGCATTTTTTTTAAACCTAACGACGGACCCAACATGTCGATAATAACCGTTTAAACTCAATAAAATAAAGGAGTTAGTGCTTGAGAATCGAATTAACAGCCAGAGATCTTACTGGCACCGTTTGAATATCGGAAGGGTCAGTGAAAACCTTTTTGAAAGATCATTTGGCTCTAATAAATGTGAAAGAACAGTAGGTTCCAAAATCACTAAAATTTTTTTAAAGACTTTGTCGCGATAGCGTCTGTGAAACAATGCTTTCCGACTACCAGGAAACAGACGATCAATCGGCCGAATATTCTGGCCAAGGTAAGTCGAAGCCGATCAAACTACGTCAAAACAGTTCAAAAATAAAGGTTATGTTGACGATTTTCTTCGATTATCGAGTTGTGGTGCACTCCGAATTTTTTCAGACCAGCCAAAGTGTCAACAAGGAATTGGTTATTTAAGTGATACGCGTCGTTTATGCGTAAAAAGGCAGAATAACTTCTGATTTTTTCACTACGATAATGCACCGTCGCATAATGTATTGATTCTTAATGCGTTCTTCGCTTAATTTTCAACGAATATTCACCTGATTTATCTCCGTGTAACTTCGAGCTATTTGGCAAACTCAAACGACCACTCCGGGGAAACCGTTTTGAGTCAACTGAAGACATTAAAACAGAATCACTAAGCACATTGAAGGCTATTTTGAAAAAGACGTTAGCACAAGTATACGACGATATAGAATTTGAAGAATAAATTAAGAATTTAAAATTATTAACAAAGTCTTACTATTCTTCTGCATCTGCAGGTTTTGAGATCATCAAGAAAGATATAGTTACTTATAAATATTTTTCTTACTCCTTCCCTAATATATAATATATTATGCTTGTCTCTTATGTTAGCTATTTGGCTTGGTGCCGTTCAATCGTACGGAATTTGACTCAAATCTCATTGTGGACTATAGCATCGTACTTGTTATGCCAGTTTTCTACGTCTTTTGCTACTATTATGTCAACTTTCACCCACAAAGCATCTTTAAATTGACCGAATGCAACAGTATTTGCAACTTTAGCGGTAAACTGCTGATGCATTTGGGTTGCTTTTTATATTTAAGCATTTATTTTCTAACGTTACTGCGTCAGAAAAAGTTCTACATAGAGTTTGGCAAAAGACTATATGAAATCGATGAATTATCGGAAAAGTGTATCCAGTTGGTTGGTAATCGCAATAAGCTGTTTGTGGCAAAAACGAAGCGCTTATTTTATTTGACCTGGATAATACTATTGGCAACATTCGCATTCGCAATATTCTTTGATGTGAGCCATATTTTCGAGTAAGTTTAAACCATAAATTATTATTTTTTATTCATGATTATTATTATTATTATATTTCGCATGATGAATATTTCGAGTATAAGTTTCTTCAGTATATAGGTAAGGTTTATTGAGATCGATGTTTTATCTTTCCGACAAGCCAAATAGGCTCAATCAGTTAAGGAGATTTTACTTTGTAGAGACCCTATTCAATGAGAGTTGTGAATCAATAGAAATATTGCCGGAAAAAAACTAGTCCATACAAAAATTTGTTACTGATCGGTCAGTTTGAATCGAAGCTATTTTTTAATGAGGGCGAGTGTGAAGTACCGTGCAGCGAGCAAGCGAGGAAGACAGGAGAGATAGCCGTTTACCATTAAACACACGCCATGGATTCCATTGCCCGACGTCAATATCGTGCAATCGTCAGTACGAGAAACTCTCTCTGGTGGTTGTGGGAATTCCGAGATATAGAAGTTAAAGAACAGAGAGGATACCACTCTGCGGAGTCCCTTGTTTAATTCTTCTTAGTTCTGATTTTTTACCTCGAAATAGTGAGGATGATTGACGACCGCTCAGGCAGTTCATGCTCCACTTCAGTTCTGGAGGGAGCGCGGTTTTTTTCGATGTCCTTCAGTAGCGTTGTATGACTGACTGTGTCAAAGATACAAATATCGTTCTCTCGCAGAGTGATTTCTGATTAAGGCCACGAACTATCTGGGCGTTTATCACGCTAAGTGCTGTGGTGGTACTGTGCCCTTTTCGGAAGCAATGCTGCTGGATTGCTAGGCTGAAGTGATGGTCCTTAAATACGCCGCAACAACATGGTCGCCTGAATGCAGTGAAACACAGACGAAGACGCTCAAAACTTGTCAGAATACTGCACTTCGGACTACTACAGGATGCCTCCCAGTTAAGGAGCATAATGAACTCCTCTCCCAGCAGTTCCTGCTGGAGTACTTTCGCAGAAATCATCCCTGCAGTTACCTGCTTGCAACGGAACCGCCTCTTAGGTAGATCAAGAGGTCATTCCTCAAACAATGACATCAAATAATACGCCGAACGGCCGTCGGACCCAACTAACTTCCGACAAGCACTGACCGCCATTCACAGTGGAGCCAGCAACACTTTCACCGATTCCCTCTCAGTGAATGCCGTACTTGTAGTCTAAACAACACACATTGCAGATGAAGAGCTCGAGTTTCCGTTTGAAGCGCTTCGTTCTGGATACTCTACCATGTTAAACTATGTACTACTTATCCAGCATAGATCCCAACATATCTAATATATGTCCTGCGTGCAATGAGAATGACACTAGCCACCTCTTTGAATGCCCCACTAACCCTACTCATCTGACACCCATCTCTCTTTGTTCCGATCTCAAAGGGAACTTTGATGAATAAAAATTACGAATTTTGTAAACTGAAAGATCATCTTAGAAAAGTCAATTAACTGGTACAATTAAGATGGTAATTGACGCGTTATGTTTGATCTTGTGGTGAAATAGTCTTAGGTTTCTTAGGACTTAGGTTCGTGTCTCTTTCGTTAAGTATAGCTGTCTTTTGAAATATTCCGATATTATGCTTGATGTTCAGACCTCCTCAATTTAGCTTATAGTCTTCTCGTCTCTCGCTTTGATACTACTTTTTCTACCAAGTAAATTTCTTCTATCTTTCATTAAAACACTTTGAATGTTAAAGCTAAATTGAGGAGGACTGAATATGAAGCACAATTTCTGAATATCCATAGATGAATATATGTAGACTTTTGCGTAAATATTTTCTTAATTATACACAAAGACTTGATAAATTGAAGAGAATTAGAGGTCGGAATAGTAAAATTCAGCATTTTCTCAATCGGAAGAGTGTATGGACATTCCGATTACAAACAGACATTAACAATTTTATCAATCACCAAAATTTTATATAAAACTATTTAGTATTATATATTATAATTTATTTCACTTTTCATTCCCAGCTACTATGGTCCATATTGTTTTCTAACAAATATGGTCTTAACATTTCCATATGTTGCCGGCAGCATAGTACAGGGTATGTTCGCATCCTATGTATCGGTGATTTCGGAGCGTTTCTCCACGCTAAATGTGCTCTTCGAAAAAATCAATCAGGAAAGTGAGAAGAAGAATTCACCGATTGCCGTTATGGATATTGAAAGTGATACTAGAAAGGACAGCAGCAGAGGTCCAGCAATTATTAGTGAATTGTCAAAGCGAAAAACAGCTGGTTTGCAGCAGAAAAACGCAAAATTAGATGATTTGAGCAACAATGATAGTGATTTCGCTGAGGAGGATGACTCGGCAGATGATGCGTATAGCTTTGGGGAATATGATGAGACGCGCTCAAGTGATGGGTGCGTATGAAAATGTGTGTTCGAAGAGCATTTTTGTGGTTGTATGTTAATAGTGCTTAAGTCGACTTAAATTTTGGGGCGCAATTTGACTTGTGCCGAGCAATTTATGCGGAATTTGAAGTTTTATTTTGAGAAAAAAAAATTTGGAAGCATATGCTTTTACTTATTATGAAATAAGGGTTGAAATATGTATCATCTCTTTGTGAGTATTCAAAACTCTTCTTCCGGTCTTAGACCAAGAGTCCGTCCTTCGGGTAGCCAAAAAACAGCCTTTTGAAGTTCACGCAAGTGAGGAAACTTCTCTGAGCGTCATTCATTTGGGAGTGGCCAAAAACGATGCTTTTATATATGACTCAAGCTGCTTACGATTTCCGCTAAGTATCCTATGGGTAGCCAAAAACCATTCCTTCCCAGAGTAGAGCGCTGGGTTTGGAACCCGCCACGTAAATAACACCTCCAATGAAAAGATCCCGAAAAGTCAATGCTATTATCTCAGCTTAATTGGACTTAATTCATTTTAACAGTTAACTTCAATTTCGTATATATAGTAATATTTTTTGCAACACTTACAGCAAGACCTCCGAAATAAATTTGCCCAGCCTCTTTAAATTACACGACAAGATACTCTCACTGAGCGTTTTGGTGAATGCGGAGTTTGGCGCCCAGTGCGTACCTTATATGGCGGCCTGCTTTGTTATCACCATATTCGGCATATTTCTAGAAACCAAGGTCATGTTTATTGTTGGTGGCAGAAACGAACTCATGGACTATGTGATCTATCTCTATGTCATATGGAGTTTCACCACCATGATGGTCGCTTACTTCGTTTTGCGTTTATGCTGCAACACGAATGCGCACTCCAAGCAATCGGCCATGATCGTACACGAGATTATGCAGAAGAAACCGGCCTTTATGCTGGGCAATGATATCTACTATAATAAAATGAAGGCGTTCACATTGCAATTTCTACATTGGGAGGGTTACTTCCAGTTCAATGGCATTGGCCTGTTCGCGTTGGATTATACCTTCATCTTCTCGGTATGTCAAACGTAGTTCATGTTTGCAAAAATCATTTTATTTTTATCAAATAATAATTACAAACATTACAGACGGTGAGCGCGGCCACTTCCTACTTGATTGTGTTGTTGCAATTTGACATGACATCGATTTTGAAATTAGAGGGTCTTACACCGAGAGTATTGACACCAGATGCAAACGCAGCGGCAGATAATTCTTAAAGCTACTGAATAAAATATTTTTATAATATTTTTTAATAATGCTACTAACTTTTTTATTAATATTTTGCTAATTAGTAAAATGTAATATTTTCCAAGTACTCAAAAATAATATAAATGCTCAACTATTTGCGTCTTCGAAGATCTTGATGTAAACTAAAATATTTTTTTTTTCATTATCGATATTTATGCATTAATAATAATTGTACAAAATTTTTGAAAATATAGGTATTGTATGTATATATCCTTTTTTATAGACATGCATTGCCTCAACCCTTACATAATCGTTTCAACTTCGGGAGCTTTACAACAACTTTATGGCATATACATACACACATCGCCTCATACATACTGACAGCTCTTCCTGCATTTACACTTGCACTAGACTCCGAGACGTAGTATTTGTTTTTGTCTTTATTGCAGGCACAGTATGCCTTGCAAAGCTGGAATTTGAAAACTGCAGCAATTTGCGCTGCAAAATCGTGGTAACTACATCCTAAACTGATAAAGTTTGTTTCCTATTGCGCGCCAGCTAACTCAATTCCATGCCAATATAATTTGGCGCAAATTCAACATGCAGTTAGGGGTAGCTACCCACAAGGAAAAATATAGAGTAAGGATATGAAATCAGTTCTCTCGAGCATTCGGTGTGCAAAAATAACAGTCCACAAACTGTTTGGAGTTTATCAGTGTGGCTTTAGGCCTAGACAATCAACAACTGACCAGATATTCACCATGCGCCAAACCTTGAAAAAGACCCGTGAAAAGAAGAACGACATACACCACCTCTTCGCTGATTTTAAAACCGTCTTCGACTGCACGAAAAGGAACTGTCTCTATGCCGCTATATGTAAACTTCGTATCACCGCTAAGCTGACCTAGACGAGGTTTCAGACAAGACTTGACATAGTCCCAATGGACGAAAACATTCCAGCTTGGAGAATATTCGACGCGGTACCTACCAGAGGAAGAAAGAGACCTCCACTCCATGGGAACGACCTGTTTTAGACAAAAAGAGAGATTATTTCTGAATTTCATAGAAATTTCTTACATAATTGGTTGTCAAAAAAATCTTGCGGTATTATTTATTTATTTTATTTTATAATGGTTTGATGACTCATGCCCAGCTCTTGACCGATGCTACGGCTGCTACTATGCCGGTCTCTTTCGACCAATTCAGCGATTTTATCGCAATTTTCGCCGACAAGCCTTCCGGAGCGTGGCGCATATTCGACCACCTCTACACCAGAACGAAAACCTTGAAACCATCGTTGTGCGGTGGAAATGGAAACTGTATCGGGTCCATAAACTGCACAAATTTTTTTGGCGGCTTGAGATGCATTTTTGCCTTTATCGTAGTAGTACTGTAAAATATGCCGTATTTTCTCTTTGCTAAATGTTTGCGACGTTATAACTCACGAACGACTTAAAAGAAACGACAATCAATCAAACACGTGTTAGCGCGTGAAATGAGCTTTCCAAAAGGGTATAGCATGACCCGATGTGACGAATAAAACTGGAACTACTACCAACTAGCGAAAATACCGCAAGACTTTTTTTGACAACCTAATATTAGCGGTTAGAATATGGGGACGTTTTTAAACATTTTTGGCAACGTGTCACTAAAAGTATATTATCCACGAATTTCAATGATAAACCTTACAGATTGACCGTTGTGTTTGGTAAAAAGTTAGTCATAAACACTAAGATCTACATATTTGGTGTCTGGGTACTTGAAAAGTTATAGTGAAATATCGAAAATCGGGCGTAAGATGAAATATATTTAAGGCAGTACTTGTTCGAAATATTCTTCTGATAACTTCATTGATGTTTGAATTGTGTACTGTAAAGTGAAAGAATCAAATTGTCTTTAAAACTTTGTTACATGGAAAGTAGGCGGGACTGTCATCCGATATTTAGCTCATACTCAGCGTGTATGGTAGGAATATTTAGATAACAAATTCATATAACAAATTTGGTTTAAATAGGTAAGGTACTATATTTTCTGAGATAAAGGATAAAGATGGATGGTGCCACGCCCGTTGCACAGTTTTTACAGCCCCACTGTTGTCTGATTACGGCCATCTGAAATAGCGACCTCTCTTAAATGCAGAGGAATACGAACCAACATTTTTCCTGCAGGGTGACTGCTATTACCTTTCCATTTTCACCTCCATCGCTCTTATTTGCTCTGCCGCAACATAATTTCCTCTGCGAGTACGGTGAGCAAATGCCTTATTACTCATCTACTGCCGCTTCCGTTCGCTTAATTTTTGAAAATTGCTCAATAAGGATTTGACTTAGTTTATTAAGTAGTATTATGGCTTATTAAATGTACTAAAAACATTTTAAGGTTTTATGATTTGTATATATAAATATGTATTTATAAATAGGATCTAATAAAAATGCATGCATACAATAAATGCATCCCCGATCTAGGGCAACTGAAATAGCGACTGAGCTTAAAAAACCGTCTGTCATGTAAGTTTTTTAATTGAAGACAAATATTATGGATGATGTATAGGGTGGACCACGAATCGTGCTACAAAAACAAGCCGCAATATATTCTTTCTGTGTGAGTAATCGACTGAATGGGCATAAGTGACACCCCTTTTGATGACGACCCCTGAAAAAATGTTAAGGATTACGGACATGCCTTCCAGGTGTCCCTTAATAGAACAGGCTAGGCTGCCCAGATGGTTGATGTTTTCGTAAAAGTAAAGACTAACATAACTGCCGTCCAAAAAGTGCGATTGACGGGACAAGACTTGAGACGAGTAGGCCTTATGGCATTTACTACAGTGGTCATATAAAAAAGTATGGAATTCTTGGTGAGAGAGAGATTCCGTTGCCGAGTCCTAGCATGCACCCGGTCGATGAACGTCTAGCCATAGTCCGCATCAAAGCGAAGTTTTTCAATAAATCGCTGTTATACTCCCACGCCCCGACGGAACAGAGGGACGATGTGACCAAAGATGATGCCAAAATCGTAGCGACTATACCGCAAAGAAGCTATCTTTGGCACAATGTCGGTAAATTCACTCTCTATGATGAAACATCCCCAAATGGGTTGAGGCTGATCGACTTCACCGGTAGCCGAAATATGGTTATCTATAGTACTAGATTCCAGCATAGGAGAATTTATCAAGCTAGCCAACCAGATCGCTCATGTTGTGATAGACGAAAGACATGACTCCAGACGTGTATATGCTGCGAGGTCCTAACATTGACTCAATCCACTGTCTTGTTGCAGCGAAAATACGCAGTCGCCTCTGTGCAGCAAAAACGTACGTCAACAAATACAAGGAAAGTTCGACGACGAGAAGCTGCAATCACAACAGACAGCCCAAAGATTTTCTACTCGACATACACTCCTGCTCTCTGAGAGTGATAAGCAATACGGTATAAAGGAACTGTGGGATGGAATTACAAGTTCCTAACGTACAGCTGCAAACGGCACCACTGACTTTCCGAAAAGCTAAAAGAACAGGTGGTATTAGAGGAAGTGCCGTGTCGCAGCGGAGAGAAAACAGACTGCCTACCTCGAACCGTTACAATTGACTACAACATGTGCGGGATGGAATAAATACCGAGAGCTGAAGAGGGAAGCGAAGGAAGAGGAAGAACTCTACTCGGTTGGAAAGACCAGGTAAGCGATGTCTACGCCAATAAAGAAAAATAATAATATTTTTATTATACATTAAGTTGAGACAGAAAAGAAATTGGTTTGAATTTTACAAAGAACGTTGTTTGTCAAGATTTTTATATTATTCTAATTTGAATTGATTTTTTTTTACTTAAAAAAAAAACTAGCCTCTTCGACTTGTTGCCCTTCATATCACATTAAACTAAATTATTAACCGTCTGAATAATATATTTGAATACAGATAACCCAATTTTCTTTTCTAGAAAAATTGCTTTCAGTTTGATCTAAAATTTGAGGCTAAATCACCTACTGCTGAAACAGTTTTGACACCGAATTCTAATAGAAACTTTTTTCCTTAAGTTAAAAATATAAGAAAAAGTTGGAAATTAGTGGAAAATGATATTAGAAAACGTAATAAAAATCATTTCATACTTCCCCCGTACCACAAATATACCAAAAAGTGCGAAAGTGAAATCGATTAACCGGTCATTACAGCTTGCTGCTTACAAGCAATGTGAATATTAAAGGTATTGAAGGGTAAAATAAATAAAATTAACAAAGCTGCAGTTGCAGTTATTGACAAACATCAAACGCTAAAAACGATTCATACTCACGCTGTAAAAGCTAATATACCTGTGGCTGGATACATACACAAATATTTACTTGCATAGGCCACTTGTAGCCATTAAAAGCTTTTGGTTGTACTACAGGTGTCCGCGCTGTGGTCTACGGTGCTTTTCGGTTATATCATATGTGTAATGCAGTTACATACTCGTATATACATGCCTATATACACTTGTGTATACCTTACATATGTTAATATGTGGAGATGAGCGAGTGCATAATGGCATATTTTCTCTGGCCAAAGCGTGAGTACAGGAGTTACACGTTTTTATCTCACACATTTCGGATGCTCAGCTTGTTGCTGAGATGACAAGGCAGTTTTTATATAATGTATACCCTTTATGCACTTTAAAAATATATATTTTGTTTTACTAAGATTTTCATCATATTTTTTTTTTAGAAATATTTGAGGTGATTGACGAAGAGAAAAACGATATCAACGAGAGAGAACAATTATTTGTGTTGAGTTTATGTGGAAGTAGTGGCCGAAAATAGGGTACTGATGATCTCTAGATATTTGTCAATCATCATTAAAAGTATTTCCAGTGAAATATTGGATTCGTCTACTCAAAAATGAGACAAAAGAAATTTTTTTCATATAATATACCAGGCGTTGAAGATATTGAAATTGTTAATAAGCAGTAAGGATTAAACATATTAGAAAAGGATGAAAAAATAAAAAACATGAAAAAATTTATTTATGGGAGTATGGGTATAAATTAATCTTATCCCT